TGCTAGGAGGATGCTGATCCACCCCAAATTTTGCTGCTGCTCTGCTCCCAGTACTGCTACTGCCAGTTGCCCTGGCTCTTCTTGGCACATGGGTGGACGCGGGGTGCTTAGCTGGGGCTACATCACACAGCTGGTGGTGGTGGCACTCGGAATGAAGCAGCAGCGAAATTTGGGGCAGATGCAGCATCCTCTCAGTGCCGCCGGTGCCCACTCTGAGACCAGCACTGCCGAGAAGAACCCAGCGCAGCCCCGGCTGCAGCCCGCCCTGCCCAGATCTGGGGGGCGCGTGCCCTCCCTCCCCCCCCGTGGCCTCCTGGGATGCAAGCAGCAGTGGGAGACTGCCTCCCCCCCTACTGGGAGAGCAGCAACTCTCTCAAGATAAACTTTATGTCTATAAATGCTGATAAGAGAGGGGTGCCCTTGTGCACTGCTGCTATCTGTCGCCAGGCAAACTGAAGGAGCTTGCAGAACAAGCTGAGATGTATGCAGAGAGGCTCCTTGGCTGTGTAGCATCAGTTCTGCAAACTATGCTCTTCAAAGGCTCAGCACTGGAATATCTATTCAGGCATTGCCGAGTAAGATTTTCTACCAGGAGAACAAACCTGGGAGAACTCTCATGATTATCTGGACGTACATACCCAGCCCAAGCCAAGACTCCTATTCAGTGTAAACATTTTTTTAAAAAGAAACATTCAGTTTATCAGATAAATTTAAATACTTATAAGCATAAGTGTTCTGCAGTATTAAATGTTCCTAGGTCCCTCAGAAGAGACCACTGACCTTTTTATCGAATTTAACATCCTCTCTTTCTGAGGGTTTATCTGACAGCTGCTGGTTCCAGTACTGCTTTGCGTAATGGATGAGCTGGTGTTTCTCAGAAGAAGGAGGCACCGGAATTCCTTGTTGTGCCAGGTACTTAAAAATTATCTCCCGACATACTTTCCTTCGCTTCAGCAGCTCTTCTACACTCTGACTGTAAACTAAAATGGCATGAATGGCTTCTGAAAATGAAAGAGTTGAGTTAGTATATGCTTCTCCTAAAGACAAAATCTGTTCAACCTCTCACTCCACTTTAAACATTTTAAATATCTGCACATTTTTATCACTGCTGATGGTCAACATCTCAAACTCACGCCTATAATACATTAGGGTCATTCAATAAGCTGCATGCAAAGTCTGAAACCTATTCGTAAACTAAGAAGCCTAAAACAGGGATTGAAGCTTGGATGAGCAATTTGATGCTCAAATCAGACAAGACGGAGTTGCATACAGGCTGTGGAAAAAAGGCTTGAAAAAACAGCATAAGCCTGATCAAGCACTTTGGCTGAGGAATCTGAGCAATACAGGTTTTGAAGCACGAACAACTACTTACTTCTGGATATCCACATACTACCGACTACCAGAGGCTTTTACTATTTGAGAAGGTCAAAAAGGACACACAACCTTTATCCTGCATATTTTTCTTGACACTTCCAAATGGAGATGACTAATGTGGTACTAAACATTGATACTCCAACCACTTCAGGAAATGCCTAAAAACCACTTATTTCATGTACAGAGAATCTAACAAAAGTGCAGCGTGCCCTAACAATTAATTTTGTAGAAATTTAAGCGGTCTCTCCTGTCGCGATCTATGTAGTCAAGGAGAAGACTTTAGTAATATAAGTTCTCTTATGGGCGACTTGAACAGCCAAGCTTTTTATTTTTCCTGAATAGATGCTTTTCTGTGTTGTTAGTGTGACAAAGTCCTTTACAATACCAAGATAATCTTCTAAAGTTTGTTTGCTCTTACCAAGTTCCCTATTTATTTGATCCAGTTATACAGATCACAACATTTTGGTTAACTGTCAGTCCTGCTTATTCAAAATGGGACTTTTTAAGGAAAAGCTGATGCAGGGAGTAAGGGACATTCAACAATGAAGATGAAAGAGTCACAACCTGGTAATTCTACTGGCAGTAAGTAGTAAAATGCACTCAGTGGCCACATCCAGAATGTGGCTTTGCAGACCCGTCCACAGTGCCACACACAACGCATGCAGGTGCTCCCTGTACTACTTTGCAGCATGGGGGGAAGGGTGTTGACCCCAAGAGATCTCAGGATTAAAAAAATCTGCGCCTTAAAAAGCAAAGTGGTACTCATGGTGGCAGCAAGTGCTGCTCCAAACCGTAGCCTGGCCAGCCTGAGCCACACTCTAGCTGCTGGCCAGATTCTCTGCTGCAGGAACACTGTGGCTGCAGCTTTTGGAGGCACCCAGGGCCCTAGGTAAGGTTGCTGGCCCCAGCTTCCCCTACCCCACCTGGGGTAACCTACCACACACCAGAACACTCATGGCACAGGCATTTCCCAGGGACAAGTGGCACAAAGTGTGTCCCTGGGGAAACGTATGTTTCCACTCATCTGGGTGTGGCCAGTGAGGTTAGTCTTTGACAGCACTAAAAGATCAAGAAGGTTGATGGAAGTACAAATAAATGTTCTGTGCGTACAACAAACAAACCAAGTCAAGGAGAGCCACTGTGCCTAGTAGCAAGGTGGTAGTTTAAAGTAATCAACTTGATATTAGAAATACTAGATTGCAGGAAACGGTCCTTCAGTTAGGAGATAATACAGCAGCAGTTCCCAACCTCAGGTTGGGACCCAAATGAGGGTTGCAGGGGCAATGCCAACCGCGCCGCATGCCGGGAGCTCCCCCACCCGAGCTGCTGCACTCTGCTCCCAGCAGCAGGTTGCACCAAAAAAAGTTTGGCAACCACTGTAATACAGACTGAACATTGGCCTTTAAGCCCAGTCCATTCCAGTTTTAGCTAGTGTTACATGCCTACCAGTTCAATTCCATTTCAAAAGAAAATGAAAAATATATACAAAAATTAAGTTGAGCAAGACCCTCAGTGGGGCACATCAGCTTGAAAATAAAAAAAAAAAAAGCATAAAAAACTTTCCAAAATGTAAGCAAGACAACTTTCTAGAAGACATGGACTTATAATGCAGAATCTAAGCTGATGAATGTGAAGCACAGCCATGATTTAAGGCTCCTTTAACTTGGGCCTGAGTACACAAATGCACTTCAGGTAACAGGCATGTAACAGGCAGCAACCTGAAATGTGCGTGCATGTCAAGATCAGAGTTCACAAAGTACGGGATGAAGGTGCAGAAATCAGGGGCTGCCCTACCAGGCAATAACTCATGTAAGGCTGGACTGTGCCTGGTTTCCCCTCCCGAGTTAACAGCACAAGTAGCTCAGGCCGGAAAATGAAGCAGCAACACGAGCCCGAGCTGGTGCACATCTCCCTGCCCGACTCTCTCTCCTTCCCGTGCAGGCAAAATCACGGAAGAGCGGCACCGCAGAGCCCAGGAAAACTGACACAGCCCTTCCCCGCGAACGTCCCCACGTCACCGCGTCGGCGGCCCCCACAGCCCCGCCCCCACCTCACTACGTCAACGACAACACTCCCCCCGCACCTTTGCGGGACTCGGGCAGCACCAGGCGGTTAGTGACTGTGTCCGACAGCGCCAGGAGATCGTCGGTGCTGAGCAGGTCGAGCAGGCCGTGGCAGCCCGCCTGCTCCCGCGAGCTCAGCCCCAGTCCCGCCATCTTCCCCTACCCCCTTCCTTGCCGCGCCCCGCCACAGCCCTAGCAACCGCGGGAGGACACTTCCGCTTCCGGCGCGCCGCTTTAAGACGCCAGCCGCGGCCGGCGCCGCAGCAAGCGGAGCGGCAGGAAAGGGGCACGGCGGGGAGCCGGTGCCGGGGCAAGGCCTGCTAGGGGCCGCGTCAGCCCGGCCTGAGTGTGACGCCAGGGCTGCGCCGCCCCTCGGCTTGGGGCGTGGCTGCCGGGCAGCTTCCGTCCGGCCGTCCACGGCTGTCTGTGGGTCCGCACACCCATCCCATTCCCTCCTTTCCCCACAACATCTGTCCGCCCGCCTAGCCCTCCCGGCCTTGGAGCGGAACAGCCGTCCGTCGCTCCAGCCCTATGTTAGTAAAGGACAGCCGTCCATCCGTCCCGACCTCTAGTTTTATAGCTGCTAGGGCCTGGAAGAGCACTGGGTCTACCTTTGTCAGTGCAGAGCATCCATCTTCTCTCCCTGCCTTCCTACCTCGGCTTAGGACATCTCTCGTCCTGCCAGGGTAAGTTTAGCAGGTATAGATCCACCTGCCTCCTACACATCCATTTTTCTTGTACGCCTGCAAAGCTGTTATTCTCTCTACTTTCATATTCTTCCCCAGCAGTTCACGTCTAAGAGGACTCCTGCACATAATGGCAATTTTTGTAGAAACTATATGGCCAGTCCCTTGGGGCTGTTTGTAGCTCCTCCTTGAATGCCCTTGTGGGTTGTGTCTCAGCAAAGGTATAAGCTCTTCAAGTTGGGGGCTGTTTTAAACCAGACTTAAACCATCACTGCCTACAGAATAGTGTCTCAGGACTCCCTGTCTCATAGTAGGCTCCTGGCTACCAAAACCAAGAAGAATGGCTAGTGTTTAAAGAGAGAAATATAGTGCATAGGATGGGGGCTGGGTACTAGATTCTTCCTGTAAGTACAAGTCATGACTTGAAAGCCAAATGTTTCACATAGATGAAATACAATAACCAAGAACATGCATTTCTTTTCATACCATTGTTTTCTTATCAGGTGAATTGAGGAATAGCAGAAGGGTTTTTTTGAGGAGGAGGAAGGACAGAGCTACAGTATTAACAAGATGTAGAACCTCCTCTGAGATATCCTCCTTGGTTCTGGAGCGTACCCAAGAGTCATCACAACCATTCAGAAATACAGCATACCTGGAACATGTTAAGCTTTTATCATTTAGCCATTTCAAAAATTGTTCTTCAGAGATAGGCTCCCATGCTTCCAGAAGTTACTATACCTTATCAGGTATTACCATCCTCTCACCAAAGCTGCCAAGTTACATCTTGGGTAGTTACTGTGTTTGCATAAGATCCACCTAACACTAGATTGCTTGAAAGCAATCAGCAAGCAACATTCTTGTCTGTCTTTTCCCTTTTGCATGGAAGTTGAGTTAATCACAGGTCAGAAAGCAGGGAAGTTGGAGAAATGTCATCTGAAAACAGGGGGGTCTTGCACCTTGCCAAAAGACCAAAGATATAAAACCAATGACAAAGGTTGCCACTAAGCTTAGGATCCAATTTCGGCAGTGTTTTCTCATTCTCAGAATGCAAACTGAGTTAATTAGCTATTAAAAACTATGAAACCTGGGTGTTAGTCCATTGCTTCCATCATATGCTGTAGATTAAATTGGTCATTTATGCTAAGTATACATGAACCAAAATGTATAGGTATGAAGTTTGGCATGAATTTATTTAACCAACCTTAAAAAAAATTAACCCCCCCAAACCCAGGTTTCCCTTAAGTGGCATTTTTGCTTTGTTTCCTTTGCATTTCTAGCATTCTCTTATTGAGACCAGCATTCAATATTTAATAAATAGGGCACGCTCTGATAGCTTGCTAATCTTCTTTAGAGCAAAGAGAGTTGTGAACTGATGTTTTTAGGAAAGCAATATATCTGTGTAACTTGACTCTGTCATTTGTCATCTCAGTATGCTGAGTGGTTAATTTTGAAATTAGACATCATTGAAATAAAAAGTTTTAATTAAAATTTTTCATGCATCCCATCAAAATAGCCAGATCAGTCCTAAACCCTTTGAATCATTCAAAAACCATATGTGGCCTTACTACCAGCAAGTATCCTCCACCCCAAGCTTTTCAGCCTGGGGCTTGAGATACTTCCACATTTTTTGGCAGGAATCCTAGGTGCAGGCTCAAGTCTTGAGACATGGGGTTCAGATCCCCCAGAGTTTTACTTGCCCTTAGCTGTACGGCCGCAGGAGCAAGCTAGGGAGAAATTTGCCATTTCCATAAAGTTGGCGTGTAGCAGAGATCCTACCACTGGAAGCTGTCAGTGGGAAGCTAACTGTGAGGCTCGTAGGGAGTTGTGTCCGCATGCAGGCAAGGGTGCACCCTCCACTACACAGTGGCATTTTAATTGTGTTTCCTTGGTCATAGTATTTGCCCTACCAGATAAGTGAAACCACTAAGGAAGTGCAAGGCATAATTATATTCTGCTGGGTATGAACTTCCAAAGGAGACACAAACCAGACAGTGACTTTAATGAAAGTCATTCAGAAACAAGGACAAAATATAAAAGTAGAGTGCATTATAAGCAGTTTATTCTACCAGTTCAGCTTGCAACTTTCTTCCTGGTAAAAAAAAAAACAAAGTACTGTACATCTCTACATTATTTAACCTACTTTATTTATTATTTCTTAATGTATATCACTTTCAAGTTGCTATAGAGGTCCCTGGTATAGGGTACTGTATGAATATACTCTTCTTTGCCATACACAATAGTAAAAAATCAGGGACAATGGTCAAAACAACAAAAGTTAAGAGTTCCATTGCTAAGTAAGATATTGGTCACATTTCACATGAATTAGGTGGTTTAGTATACATGTACTGCGGGGAGATTATTCTAATTCAAGAGCCAATGCTTTTACTTACTTTCCATTATAAACTGAGTTTTGCAATTACTGTTTTAATAACAAAAAAAAACTTTCTTTTTCATCTTGAACTTCAAGGGCACCTATACACAAACAGCAAGGCTGCTCTGATGCACTATAATTACAATGTGTCAGAGCAGACTCAATTAATCGTGTCTGCTATAGCATGGTAACTACTGTGCTCCAGCAGACTCCATTGTCTTGTGCGTCAATGTCCCCACACTTAAAAATGGTGGAGGGGGCACTTTTTCTAAAGCTCACTCAACAAGCTTTAAAAGTGCCCCCACCACCATTTTTAAGCACTAAAATACTGATACACAAGGTGCTCCAGGTGCTTTAGAGTGGCTGTCTGAGCCGCTGTATTTAAAATTCCTTTCCTGGAGCACATGTATAAATGCTCCATGTGTGCAGGTTCCAGAAAGAAGTCTTTCTGGAAGAAATGTTGGGGTTCTCGACAAAAATATTGAATTCAAGATATTACAAGCAGTAAAAATGTATACCTAAAAATATAGCTTGGTGCACGATAATTGTTATGTAACTTCATTTTCAGGAAAAGCATAATATGCCCACCCGTATGAATCCTCATATACACAGAGCTTGTATATCCTAATTTTCAGAGCATGCATATCCTAGCCAGAGTGGTATAAAGGTATTTATTACCATAAATTTACACAAAAAGATATACTGATAGAAGCATCTTCATCACACACAATACTACTCTAACTCTATATCCATTTCTGAACAAACAGCCTTGTATAGACTAGACCCTAATCTTGAGCTTAGTTAGACAAAGCAATCAGAAAATACTGATTGTACACAGAGAACATAGGAAAAAGCAAATTTTAGATTCTTCTATTAAACTATCACATGGGAAGCTTGCAGCTTCAGTCTGAACATCACAGCAGTTGAACAGGGACATGGCTTTTGTTCTGCTTGCAAATTCAAGTCAGAAAAAGGTGACAGCAGAAGGAAATTCTTCCTTAAGCAAAGTGCCTGATAAGCTTACGAGCAGCTGAAATATAAGGATGAAAAATAAATACAATAGCGTTTGCTAGGTAGTATCCTCACTTCATTTAAGTTTACACTTAATTCAGCTAAAGTAGTGTCAAAGGGGTATTGAAATTGCAATTTACCCAGCATACATACAAAGTGAACTGCTATGCAGCTTTTAAGACTATCATAGAGTGGGTTTCAACAGCAGTTCTATATTACGGAAAATATTTTTGCTGTATAATGTGAAGGGACAGATTCAGAAGAAGTGAATTATACTGAGAATCTGATTATCGTATTTCCTGATGATTACACTGAACCTTGTACACTCAAGATTGTATTAGATTACTGCACATCAAAAATATTTTAACTATAGTCTATGCTTAGTAATATTGGCATTTAACTGCTCCTTGTTAAGATTTGCGTAATCACTGCAAAAAATTCTGAATATTGTATCATTCAAACATTTCTGGAGTTCATGGTAACTAAGTGAACTGATATAGTCACATCCACACATTTCTCACCTTTGATACAGGACATTTTTGGGAAAGAACTGTACTTCAAATCAAATCAATTAAAAATATTTTTAGAAATATTTTTCTAGTGTTTATAACTATTTAAATGTTTGTTTTAGTGGAAGCAAAAGCACTATTTCTTATCCAAACAACTCTATTACCAAGTAACTAACTTTAGTTTGTTTTTTGGCAGGCTTTTAACCTTTTTTCTTTTTAACGTTATAAAAGTATTTATTTTCCATATTCCCATAACTGAAAATTGGCTACAGGGATTTTACAAACTTTCCATTAAAAAAAAAAAAAAAGGGCCACTGACCAAGAATGAAAAGTTGCATTTTGCAAGGTGAAACATTTGAAAAATTATTAGCCTGTAGACACAAGGAGTTTTAACACCACTGTGTTGAAACTCAGAAGTACAGCTGTGCTTTTAAGAGTAACTAGAATTTGCACTGCTTTAATTCAAATTTGTATCTGGTTGAACAGTTAACTGTTCCTTACTTCTGTTAACAGTATAAAGGCCAAACACTGATAGAGAAGAGATGGACTTACAGATACCAATTCATGAGAATAAAAGGGAGGTCCCAAATATTATCTTTGGTCAAATGTGTATAATTTCTCCCCACCTCCGGAGACATCAAGTAATATGCATAGGTGTATGAGTCACAGATTTAGTCCTACCACATCCATTTAGCAGTAACCGTTTGGGAATGAAATTATCCACTTTGATTCAGACAAGACAATAAGCCTTGCCATTTTGAAACTGCGCAGCACACTGGACATTAAAATTACTGAAACAATAAAATACAGATCACCACCTATTTCAGAGTCATATGGGCAAGCAAGCACTGCACTTAAAATTTGGCACAGCTGGCTTAGTTCCAACATTTCAGTATAGAACACAGGCAAACATTTAAATCACACTTGGGTTTACATTAGCATGCTCATTATTACTGTTTCCCTACATGGAATTTCTCCAGAGCTTGTTTTACAGATCAGCTGTCAATGGTATCAGTTTATGGGCTGAAACACTGGATGTTGACTCTCCTTACACACTAAATTAAAGCTTGGTAAAGTATTGTCTGGAAAATTCCACCAGCTTTGTTACTGTAATAACCCTTCAGATGTACTTTTTGTACAATTTTTCATAGCTTCCATTCTTACCTGCCCTCTTGATTCCAATGTTCAGTGTATTTTTCAGTCAATGCTTTTCCCCCCTTATATAAGGAATTCTAGTCTGGCTTGCTGTTTACATGGTACCAAACATAGTCCATTCAAAGCCATTTCTCTCCTCTCTGAGCTACATCAACTGACAGCCCTGTTGCAACATTCCTCAACCTCAGCATCTAACTGTTACCTTACTAGTGGCAAAGAGGTCCACTCCCTGAGAACCCTACCACCTTTGCATCTCCCCAGGCTTCCAAAATCCCCTTGCCCCCTACATTTTGGAACTCTCAATAGCAACATTAATGATATTTTTCAATCACACTTCACAGTTCCCCTAATCTGTTAAATAGGTAAATGACAAGGGGGGGGAACAAAAAACAAACAAACAAAACTTATGATGGTTAAAACTGAGAAAAATTTACTGAACTTCTCATCACAGGGTGCCTGATTTCTGAAATTTTCAGAGAACTAAGAACCCAAGGTATATTGTAGCTTTTCATGTTTTACTGTAAACTTAATTTGTGCCTACTTTATTTAACTAAATATTTGCATGACAATTCTGATAAGTGTTTCAGATAATACATATGTATAATATCCAGTGAACAGGGTGTGTTGTCCTTATACCTGACAGCCCCACTTCTTTGTTAAGGGAAGTATCAGTATTATGTGAAACGAGGAGCAAATAAAATTTCAAGACCTTAAATTACATGGAAATCACAATTCAACAGTTTGCAATGGATTATCATTTGTAATCAACAACATTTTTAAGATCGAGAAAGTCTGGAAGAAAAGCATCTGTGAGAAGAAAAGCATCTCTCCAGCCCATGCCTGATGGGCTGAGTATTAGTTTAAAAAGACTAAATTGCAACTCCCAGGAATTGCTGAAGTTCCATAACTGGGGTGCACAGCCTACCCAGAAAGAGAAAGAGAAAGAGAGAGAGAGAGAGAGAGTGTGTGTGTGTGTGTGTGGGGGGGGGGGGGATATTGAAGGAAATATTTTGTAATCCAGACCTTTAAAGAAAAAAATATTCAATTAGTTCGCAGTCTTGTGTGTTGCATCTCACATTCTTGTATTTTAAGTTCACTTCAAGTGCTACTTTCCCAGTGCTACATCTTTATAAACAGCCTGATACTAGTGTTAGACTAAATGCATTCCATCTTCCCCCCTTAGAGAAATGACTGTTTTAAATTATAGGATAGTAGTTTGCATGAATCCTGCTGGAAGTAAAACTAGGAAGATACTTTTTAACCCTTTCAGAATTTACTGCTTCAAAGGACTAACATTTAAGCAGTGAGATGATACTCTTTTCTTTATAGCTGGATGATACCACTTGGATTATTTTAATGTGATATCAGCTCCTTCAAAAATATGACTTTTGTCAGCAAAATGACCCTTCAGCCAAACATATACAGCATAGCATAGCAAAGAAATTTTAAAAATTGTTCAAATGTTTCTCTTAATCTATAATTAGGTCTTGTAAACTTTGGTAAAGATCCCCCCAATGGAGCAACTTCTGTCTTTGGCTGCAGGGCAGAAGGCAGCTCCATCAGCAGCATGATCCACATCCCTATATCTTTCCTCACTCCCCAGAGAGATTCTACTGACATTGCATCAACAGCCTGCCCCATCCTCATGGAGAGCTTTTTTTTGAAGTTTAGCCCCTACCCTTTCATCCTATATTTAATCTTGACAGGAGTAAAGGGTGCTTAGATTAGATTAGTTTGAGACAGTCGGGAGTGTTTCCTAATAAACGGCTTCCCTACTGGTTTATCAAGGATTTAACCTGTACCTTAGTTTTGCCTAACCTCTTTTAGTTGTTTAACAAACCTTTAACTCTCTGCATGCAGGCAAGAGAATCTTACACGAGCCTGATTAGTATAACCCAACTCATTATATGCAGTACCATTTTTCAATACTATGCACCACACCTAGGGATTAAATCTGCACAATAGTCTATTGTTTCTTGGATTTCCATTCATATATACTTTGAACATCAGAAGAGCCATTTAGTTATATTATGCAATATATTATCATACCACTTACCCAACAGGTATTGCAATGGGTAAATACTGGGGTTGTTTACATCAGGTAGATTTGTCAAAAGATAACAAGATCACTTAATATTAACAACAAAGACAATGTTTTATTGAACAAATCTATGTACAGTACAAAAAGGTTTTTAAAATGAAACACTACTGTTGATTTATTGCAGTTTGATGGCTCAGTTTTAATTTGTACTCTTATATAAAATGCAAAGTAAAATAATTTAACATTCAACAAGGAAGCACAAATTTCCTTTCTTGCTGAACTTTTAATAGCTTTTACAAATTAACATAGAGTCCCCAAAATGCATACACTGCATTTAATCAGGTGTTATACAGTACCAAATAAATTAAAAAATAACACTACCACCCCTTTAAGTCTTTTATCCATACCACTGGTGTTAAACAATAAAATAAATGAGTACAGCTGAACCTTCAGTGTGATATTAAAAATCACAAGTTTAATGTTATAAATTATCCAAACTATACAATTTATAGTTGTTGTTTTTTTTTATGAATATGGCTAAATAACCAAAGTACCAGTGACCTTTCCCCACAGATATGACCATTATCAACCTACTTTGCCAAACTGTTTGTGGAGGGTGCCTAGCAAGCAGCAACTTTCAAAAATCCAAATTTACATGACCTTTATAATGAATCATTTTTGGATAGTAACAGATGGCCTCTAAAAACTAATAAAGTCTAAAGCCAAGTTACATCCACTTGGAGGACCAAGATTAAAATATAATCAGCACAAAAAGGTGCAGCGACTCTGATCCAGAAAAGCATTTAACTGCATAAGTAACCTTGGGTGTATAAGCACTCAGCTTCAGCAAAAGACTTGCACATTCTTAAATTTATGCAGATAGCTAAGTACTTTGTTGGATCAAAGCCACAGTCTCAAAGTATTGTAATACACATGACATGATGCTTAAGCTTGGGAAAATAATCTAAGTCTTTGACTTGGAACCTTTTTAAAACATAAAGGTACAAACTCAATATAGGACAGCATCTTGTATGCAACAATCCTATAAATCAAGTTAGAAGGTTATTTTTCTTCAAATTACAATTGTTTAATACTCCACCAACAGGTATTAGTGAGCGTTTTACAGAAAGGGAAACATCTTTTAAACTAAAGCCAATACTCAAAAAAAATGCTACCTGCCACTTGCTACCTTGAGTCAATTTAATGCATTTCTGATGTCCAGTAGGTGACAGTTTCTATTCACTTAAGTGAAATAAATCCAGATTTTTCAGAAACCATATATACTGAACACATGTAGTATAAACAAATGCTGGCATCCAAGAAAAGCATCTCCAAACAAAAACAAGTTCAAAACACAGGTAGAAAAAATTATGGTCACAGTTTTATGCATGTACATAGATGCAGGTATTTACACACTTTAAAACCAAAGAAAATACAAATCTCAGTCATGTTTTTAAAGCATCTTCAAACACATGGAGCTTTAGAAAAAGGCAAAAAAGCACCAAAGATTAAAGTACACCTAAGATTTCATACATAAATGTTTTGATACCTACTGACCAAAGTTTTTTTTTTTTTTAAACTTATTATTTTAAAATTAACTGATTTTCCTCAAACTTATGTAAGCCATGTAACTAGATTTAACAACATAGTAAAGCAAAGAAAAAGCAGAGCCTGGAATATGCCAAAACATGGCAATCCAGTTCTCAGCACTTTAGACAAGAACATTAGAGTAAGCAAGTGGAAATGTTGAAGTGCATTTGACTGGCTAGGTTCCCACTCTTTTTTTTTTTTTTTTTTTTTTGAAGAAAAAAAAACAAAAGAGAGAGAAAGAAAAAACCCTCTAAGAGTTTTATTTATTTATATATATATGTGATGCACTTTATCAGTTAGTATTTTGTAAATGCAAAACAAAAAAACCAAAAAACAAAAAACAAAACAAAACATTCTTTGGTGCCTCAAATGTCATGCAGATCTCTCTAAAAATGGCCCAGACACTGGTATTAATGTAATGCACACAGAGCTGTGATCATAATTTTATACCTTTTTACTTGGGGCTAAATTGAAATTAGTTAACTTTTGAGGAGTCAAAAAAAAGCAAGAATCTGAATTAGCATTCTTTCTTTCCTCCAAGGGAGGGGGAAAAAGGAGGGAGAAGTAATACAAACACATATTTGATTTCACAGAGGATGACTAGTAGAGGCATTATTAAACTATTGAGTTTCAAGTGCCAGAAATATTTTAAAGCCCATTTCACAATGAAACCCTTTAGTTTGCATAAAGTGAGTTGTTGCTACAATTAAGATATGCCTAAAGGATCTGTTAAATTTTGAGTCATATTAGTCCTCACATCTCTTGGGTAAGGGAGCTGACTGACTGCCTCCCTATGCTGTACATGCATTGTGATAAAGCATTCAGGGAGCTAATTAATGGACCAGGGACAGCTGTTGCGTGTTGGCTTATCTTACTGTTAAGTATCGACTGTTTGGTATAGCTTTTATCCCTATAAATACATCCAAACTTCTAGCTAAATGCACCAGGCAGGGATTGAAATAAACTTTGTATCAACTACAAAAATCAAGTTTAATTGTTAGAGGGTAAATGTGCACTGCAATGGACAATCTGAGGAGTTGCCACACTGTCTTTTGAAGAACGCTTGCAGCAGCATTTCATTTCTTGGATATCCTATGTTGAGATCGGTTACATACTGATGAAGGCATAGCAGTTTTTATCCTGACAGACCCTCTCTCAGGTGTCATTTCTGTCAACAGCGAGTTGTTGGCCCCAGTACTTAACACTGAATTTCATTTTAATTGCCAGACTCCTGGATTGGTTTCTAGTAAAAACTGCCACCTTTTCAATAGGAACTAGATGGAGTTGTAATGTGCTTTCAGGCTGCACTCTTACATGTTCCCATCCCTTCATTAGATGACTGACCATTAGCTGGTAAATCAAAACTCAGCAATGTATCACTAGCTGATGTTACATGTGTACAGAAGTTGCTTCCTGATCTATTTCTCCTAAATAACATTCTATTTTGCCTTGCCCTCTGGAGTCTTGTTTTGTATTCATTTAAATCCTGTTTCTATAGAAAAATCAGCTCTCAAATTCTCTTCAGGCATATTAACAGCTGAAGGACCTTTATATTTGCATAATATTAACTTAACTTTATACTCAAGCTCAAGTTTACCAATCTTCACATTGTGCATGCCTTCACTGTTTAGGTCTCAACCTGCATGTTAGTATCTGTACAAGCTGTATAAGTATTACTGATATTGAGTCTCTCTGTGCCTTTTAGAGATTTTTCATTTTAAAATTTCCAGGAGTAATTTGTCGTTTTGTCATATACTTGAAAAAGGCTTCTTAAGCGCAACTTGTACAACTGACGCATTTAATGTCATACCAAAACATTCTCCCTTGCATACAATGAACATTTTTTTTGGCAACTTGACAGTGCTGTCCATCTCCATTTTTCCTCACCACACTTCATTTGGGATTCTGAATATAACTCTGTAAAATAAGCTCCATTCTTTTTAGTGGAAAAAGGATTAAGAGAACCCAGCTTTGAATAAAAATAAGTTTCAGCTATCATTTTTTTCTCCATACCATGACAATTAACAATGTCTTTCTCTAAATCACCTATTTTTGATAAGGTGAAGGGCCATCCTTTGAACATGCATGGAGAGGAAACGGTTTTCTTTTTAACATGGCATTTTAAGCCAGTTGCACAGGTATCAGATGCTTTTTTCATAAGGCAATAAACCACTTCTCTTGTTTCTGCCCAGCTGACTGTATTAGTTTTCTTAAGCCCTCAGGCTGGACACATTGTGCTGCTGTCCTTCCATCATACATTAGGAATTTGTGGCTGTCTGGATAACTGGTACTTTGGGGACTTTGTAGTAACCTTTCTGGACTCAAAATCTGCACAGCTCCCACTACTCCTCTGTGAGTTCTGTCTAGAAAATGTGCTTTGTCTTTTATCAAGGTCATGTGTTTCTTTAGTAATTTGAGACTGCTTTATGATTAAGGCCAACTGGGAAGCAGCAAACTGATGCTTCTTCATGTAGTGTTTTCTCACACCACTCCAAGCTTGATGCATCTTCCCACAACATTTAATCAGGCACCTGTAAAATAGATCATGTTGGTTACTTTTTATCTTGATCTTGTACAAATGATGCTTTAATTTGAAATTTTGCACAAGTTGATCAAATTGCCTCATTTCAGTGTAGAAGGAGAAAAGGCATAAAGTACCCCACCAGGTCTTTCATGAAGGCTCTTTCATCAAAGCTGTCTGTTTATTTACCTTTCATTTCTTTTCCTAAACATTTAGCTGGGCTGAGCTTATCTTCTGGTTTAATAGAATATTTTTCTCTTTTTTTCCCCAAAAGTATTACTAATCATTCCAACTATATTCCTCCTGGTAAATTCTAGCACATTCAATTTGCTTACAGGTGGTATTAATCTACAGCTGTTCTGCCTTTCTATCTGGCTGCTTTCCAGGACTACTCCTTTTTCATTGGCATCTCCCTCTAAATCAGGGGCAGGCAATTATTTTGGGCAGAGGGCCACTTAGTGAGTTTTGGTAGGCTGTTGAGTGCTGCATGGGTAGCCCTGCCCCTTGTCAGGTGCCCTACTCCCTGGCAGTCACCTTGGGACCAGAAATCCTGCCCCTAACCGCTGATCTTTGCCACGGAAATCCTTCTCCTTGTCCCTGGAAGTAGTACTACTTTGGGGAAAAGGGTTTGCCAGCTCAGAGGGAAAACACACAGAACTAATTACATACTAAAAATCAAACACCCAAAATAATATATTTTAATTTAATTAAAAAATATATTTTGTCCTGATTTGTGTGCATTTGTGCTGCATATGCAGAAGTGATTACATATGGGAGTTTGTGGGGATATGTGGATATAGGAGCCATGTAGTGTAGAGTGGCCAGCCGGCAGGCAGGAAAAAGTGGGGAAAGCAGCGGGGGGAGTGGAAGTGAGCAGGAGCACAGGACTTGCACCAATATCTCAGGACCCAAGTGGGGTGGTAGGAGCACAGGGTATGAGCTGGTCTGGGCTGCACCAGAAGGGACAGGGAGGAGCTGAGCTGGTTCCACAGAGCAGCAGCACTGGCCATCTGGAGCAGCCACAGGCAGCACAGTGGTGGTGGTGAAGCAGCCACACCACAGCCTAGCGCAATGTGACCTCTGGGCAAGCAGCCACAGCCGCAGCCAACATTGCCTTACAACGGCAAGGGGGGGCCGCGCTTTCCTCAGTGCTGAGCTGCAGTTCCTACTCAGCTGCTGCTGTCCCAACTCAGCCTCAAATGGGCGAGGCTGGAGCTGGTGCAGGGCCCAGGCCAGCAGCAGCAGCAGGGAAAAAATTGGTGCTCAGCACAGGGAAGAAGTGGCCACTCCCCCATGCTGCAACTGCTCGGAGCCCATACAGGGCTGCTTGTGCCTGCTCTCCACTGCCACCAGCAATGTGGCAGAGAGCCAGGACAGCCCCACATGGGGTGCGACTGGCTGCAGCAGGAAGTGGCAGCCACTGGGGGGGCACTTTCCCCCTATGTTGAGTACTAGGGCTGTGCGAAATTTCACCGAGTGTTTTGTTTTGAAACTGTTTCTACATGGTTTGAGCTCAAAACAGCAAAATTGAAATGGAACAAAAAGCTTTGAAGCAGCTTCAAAACTAAATGAGGGAATTCAAAACATTTAGAGTTTTGAAGCAGCCTAGTGGTGGAAGGCAGGGGAGAGCCAGGGCTGCACTCTGAGCAGCTCCGCAGCCCCATGGAGCTCAGCCCAGTGGTGGGAGACAGGCAGAGCCAGGGCTGTGCACCACCTCCCACCACCAGGCTGAGCTCCATGGAGCTTGGTGCTGGGTGCGGGCTGTGCCCACCACCAGTCCCAGGCAGCAGTCACAGCTTCCTATCATCCAGCACAGATCCGGAGGCCCACACCCTCAGAAGGAATCTGGCACAGTCCCGCAGCCCTTCTGGGGTGCAGGCCCCCAGATCTGCAAGCCAGGTGACAGGAGGCTGCCGCTGTTGTCTGGGGCCAGTGACAGTATCAGGTTTCTGCAGCGCTGGGTGCAGGCTGGTGGCCCCAGGTGGCAGCAGCAGCCTGCTGTCATCCAGCACAGATCCGGGAGCCTGCACCCCTGAGAGGAGTCTGGCACAGCCCCGCAGCACTCCCGGGGGTGTGGGCCCCCAGATCTGCGCACCTGATGACAGGAGGCTACTGTTGCCAGCAAGTATCACAAGTTTTGCTTTCAAGATTTTGAGGTGCATTTTCCTTGAAACCTCTCTCCTTGAAACTGGGCAGACTTCATGCCCTCAGAAGGGGCTACTATCCCTGCAATTTTCATCTGATGAGGCAGGAAATTACAGTTTCAGCCACTCTCATGATTCCCCATTATAGCCTATGGGTGAAACATCCAAAACACAATTGAAACACCAAAACAGTTTTGATGAAACTTAACAGGACAGTGCTTCAAAACAAAACGAAACGACAAAACGAAACAATATCCCTTCAAAAGGGCAAAATGGATGTCAAAAGGAAACTATGGCATTTCGCACAGCCCTACCAAGCACCAGTTCATTCCCCACCACCGTTGCTCAGTCTGAATGGGCGAGCACAGTTGCACACAGGGTCAGGGCTGCATGCTGCTCCCCACCTGTAATGCAGGGCTTGGGCAGGGGCACTCAGAGTGAGCAGGTGCATGGGAGCCAGTGGCAGCCAGGTGGGAGCACAGGGCCCATGCCAATATCCAGGGCAAGTGCCAGCGGGGCCCAGAGAAGGATGGCAGGAGTGCAGGGTCCTGGCCAGCAGGGGCTCTATGGAGCCGGGTCAGCTCCCCTCTCTACCTGGTGGTGCAGCCCAGCCCAGCCCAGCCCGACTCCTTCCAGCCCAAACCCTGTGCTCCTACTGCCCTGCTGGCACTGGGTCTGTGCTCCCACATACTGCTTGCTTTCATTCCACCCCCACCACCGCTTTCCTGCCCAGCTGTCAGCTCCCAGCTACATGGCCAGACCATGGGGCTCAGCAGGAGCTGGCCCAGCCCTGAGGACTGGGGCAATCCCCATGGTTCTTCCCTACCTCCGCCCCCCTCCCCCCACACTTCTTACCTGAATTTCCCATGCTGGTGCAGCCACAAACATCCCCATGGTCCCAGGCCAGAAACCCCTGCTAGGCAGGGGCTAGCTTGGGGGGGGGGGGTAGGGCCAGGTGGGTCCTGCTCTTGCAAGAGCCTGCCATGGCTTCCTCTGGGTCCTACTGCCTCTGATTCCTGTCATCTTTAATATTTATCTGCCCCTGGCTCCTGTCACTTTTCTAAAAAAATTTTTTTTTTTTTTTTGGGACCCTGCAGGCCAGACAGAACGGTCTGGTGGGCCACATCCAGCCCATGGGCCGTATTTTGCCCACCCCTGCTCTAAATGTATGCATCTAGAAACAGTGCAAGACTTACTTTCATCATCTGAATCGAATCCAAAGAGCGTCTGACATTTCTTTTGTGCAAGGTGAGCCTCAAGTGCTTCTGAGTTACAGTAGGTGGTCAGGCAGTTGCCACATCTAAATCTTTCTGGTGATTTGCTACAAATTTTATCCTGCTCAGAATGAGCATCTACTTTATCAGTCAAAGTTTTTCTACGTTTTGGCATGCTTATGTATCGTTCATCAAGGTAACTGGGAGGCAATGGTCTAACATATGGCTTTGTTAATATTAAGCCATATGAAGTATTTTCTGTTGTCTGATTTGGTTTGGAAGGTAACTGAGAAACTGCAGCAACGTTGTTTTGTGGCATATCATGACAATTCTGTAAAACTGGTAACATTGAACCATTTTCTGTCCTTGTCTCATCTGCCACTCTGTCCAAAGGCGTATCTGATGAAGCTGAAGTAGTCTGCTCCAGTTCACTGTGCCCATTTACTAATTGGTCACTAACAACACTGCAAGTTTCAGAATTTGGCTGTACCACAGGTGTCTTTTGGTCTAGCAAGCTTAAAAATGTAGCATTAACATCAGAACTTTCATTTCCATTCTGAATGATATTGTTTGTTTTCTTCTCAACACTCTGGATATATGTCTTTGGTTCTGTAGAGTCTTTCCTTGCCTTCCAAGTCGGAATAGGTAAATCTACAGTTTCTTTTTCATTACTAGATGCATCCTTTTCTGCAGAATCACAATGTAATTCTGAAAGATTATCTGAAGAAATTTTTTCATTTACTTCCTCAGAACTTTCTGCTGTTCTGTTTAAATAATGCTGAGCCTCATGTTCATACAGCAAAGGAAGCTCTTCAAAAAGCTCACAGCACTCTGCAAAGTTGCACTGAGCTTTAAAAACATTGTGACTTTTTGTATGCTCTGCAAGTTCTGTGGACAGCTTAAATCTCTGATTACAGTTAACATGTAAACAAAAGTAAACATTTGGATATACATGTCGTTTTAGGTGATCTATAAAATGCTGAGAATCAGCAAATTTTCTCTGACAGAAGCGACACTTTCCTTTATTCCATTTCATTATATGCTGTTGCACCTTCAGATCAGTCGGGTGAGCTTTTCTTGCATGTTTGTTGAGGAATCTTATCTTTTTAAACACCCTAACACAGCCATTGGCAGGGCACTTAAAGTTTCCCTCTTGATCCATAACATCCAGATCCTTTTGAGAGCACAAGGCTCCATTTACTTTATGAAGTACAGGAGACTCCATATTTGGACTTTCTTCACTCTCAGGCAAACTCTCTGTAGTTAACGGTTCAAGAGTATTATTTAAATAGCTGTCATAACTACCATTCCCAACAACATCATCCTCTTCGCTTACATGATTTTCAACCACATCTGATACCAGCTCAGGATTGTCTGCTTCTGTATCAGTACTTGGAATTATTGCAACCTCTGGTTCATTATCCTTAGAACTGTCAGAGCTTCCATTTTCAAAAGAGATGGATGCCTCAGAACAATTCAATTCATTTAAAACAGGGGTTTCTGGATCCTCCTGTTGGACTACAGCAAGATGCTGTCTTTGTATTTTCTTGACATGATTCTTTAAGTGCTTCAACATGAGTCCTCTTTGCCTAAACTTTCTACTGCAAATTACACACGAAAAGCTTCCTTTTTTCTGGTGAGATTGTGCATGCCTTACAATATGACCGCCAAGAAACTCCTTGTTGCATAACACACAACGGTGCCTTGGTACATTGTGATCTATCATTTTCGATGCTGCTCCAAGAGCTGTGTAGTTCTTTTTGGCATTACCATGACCTTTGGATTGGGCTCCAGAAAGGTCTTCAGGGTCAAACTCCCCACTGCTTAGATCTGCTAAACAGACATGATCTTCACCTAAAGACTGATGTTCTGTTAGTTTCTCTGTATTGGCAGCAGAATTTTCCAGTGTACTTTCACCTAAGCCAACAGAGGCTTTATCACCCAATAGTGCTAAACAGTTCTGCTTGATCATCAAAAAATTCCAGAACTCAGGATCAAAAAACAAACCCTTTTTCACAATGGGAAGCAATTCAAAACGTACACGGTTCTGTACAGAACTAGCACGCTCATTATACTCTTCATCTGCGCATTTATATAGCCGCTCAACGGTGTAGTATGATTCTAAGGTACGCTCAAGAAAGAAGACAGAAAGCGCACAAATTCTGAGGATTTCCAAGTCATTTGGCAAAAAATGAGCAATTGTTTTATATATGAGACTTTTCATTATTGGATCATCACGGAGGTCCAGTTGCAGAGCACAACCACATATCTCAACACAAATCTGCAAACCATCTTCTCCCACCTGCAAAAATAAATAAGTAAATCAATGGCTGATTATACAATATATCCTGTTTTATTTTCTGCTTGCTTAATTTTAAGCAGCATATCTGACTACAAGATAAAACTATTAAAAAGGACAAAAACACTTATAATACTTATTTTAATATGTACTAAGTTTGTATTCAACTATTTGCAAGAAACTTAAGAGGTCAAAAAAAATCTTAGTTAAATTAAAAAAAAAATTTAAAATCTTGTTTAGAAGCAGATTTTAAAAAGACAAACCACAAATATGCCTATGCAGAACAGCAATTTTCCACTGCAGGCTACATTGCTTCAGATTCACTAGCAATGTGTATTTCTGTAGTTAGAGAGAGAAAAAGATAACCATTTGGGAATGTCTTAGCAACTGTTTTGAAAAGTATCAACGCAGAGAATTATGCCAAGCAATATTCTTATCTCCATCCTCATTAAACAGAGTATTTCATAGTGCAAGTGGACAGTTCCTTTAATATGTTTTCACATATTTTAGGAATACAGAAAAACCAGAGTGTTTTCCTTCAAGGTGTGCTTAGCTTAGTCTAATTTAGTTGTCATTTTAACCTGTACAGCATTAAAGACAAATGCAGTTTTTGTTTTCAGTGGACATTAAGTGACAAATAGAAAAATGAAAACAATCAAAAGACTTATTTGAAGTGAATGGTTGAACCCGTGCCAAGTGAAGAAAAATCAATACTGAAAAATGCTATAAAATTTTCTTCGTGTAGGTAAAAACCAAATAAAAAAGACACATCCATCTTCTAGGTTGGAGATATAAGAAAACAATGAAAAAAATTATGTTTAAGTATTTTATCCCCAGAAATGTAATCTTTTCACCTCAACATTGTACAACCGTTATTAATATTGTTATATGCTTATATACTGCATTGTGATATCCCACTGATATTTACTGTACTCCAATTGCTGCAGAGCAATTTTTAAAACCATCATAGCCTAATTAAAGGATCAGATTTCTGCAAGAGTACATTACTGTCACAATAAGTAACACCTAAGATACTTATGGTTGGAAGACTAAAGCAAAATACTTAAGTTTACGCTTTGTATGTATATTTATAATCAAGTCAGTCACTCTTTTGTTTATATTGGCATTCACTAAGTGCTGAACATAACGAAAACCATTTTAAAAACAAAAACAGTTGTAAAATCACCAAAGCAGATGAAGGAGCTCAGAATCAAGTATACTACCCAAGGTGATACTACACCAGCTCACTTCCTGGGATGGGATTTCACCAGGTTTCAAGTTAATACTGTCTATATTCTCTTCATCTCCCCAGACTGCAATGCGTCAGCACACAAATTATGGTGACAACTTACTTCCCAATCAAACTGGTAATACAAGGAAAAAATACCACTACTTACTTCATCTTTAATGACCTTCATAAAAGGGAAAATGACTCTGACATTTGTAGCTATCCTTAAAAGCTGGTAGCATTGGTCAACAAATACTTGTTTTGATGGGTTAGACTTAAGTTGTAGTTTACTCCAGATGAAGATGAGGTCCCTATAAATATAAACAAAACAGCTTTGTTGGGCCATGGTTTAAACAAAGCTATCCCTAACCAATGTGCATTACAAACAGCTCGACTGATATTTACATGTTGTAAGTATAATTATTTGAAGATTTAGTATCAAGCTAATTTAAACTAAAACTATATACAGTAAGCGGCACAGTGGAAAATGTAATTTAACCACTACGTTAAAGCATCCAAGGTATCTCTTATCACTGATCCAATAAAATATGCAAAGGAAGATTAATGGATCTAGTTCAGTATTGCAGAGCTCTGTACAACAGCAATGAAAGTGCTTACAGCATTTACCATTTCCTACCTAAAAAAATGAGAGGCAGGAAGACAGCCATGATGAGTATGGAAATGTTTTGGAATTAAAATTATTTTCAGTATAAGGCTGGAGAGACTTTTGGGAAAAGTGAATGTTGAAGGATGAAAAATAGAAGCAAGATGGAGACAAGTTTTCTGATCTACTCCACTGTTAGAAGAAATGTACTAATTACCATCTGCATGTGTGTTATACCAGCATTGTCTTTTTCTGCTCAGTCATGCCATTAATTCTTCTAGTTTATAACAAGTATATGAAATTAAGTCCATCTGCTGAGGATTTCTCTCTCAAATGTGTCATTTGCACATACAGAAGAAAACCAGAAAAAAAATCTTGACCGATACCAAGAGGCACAGAGTAAAAAGGATGATCTGTGCCATAGACAGGTGCAGAGGAATGAAATCCTGTCAAAGTAATGGATGATTGGTCCCTGGTCTGGATGACAGACAATAATAGAAAGGCTGATATCTGGAGAGTCTTTATTTAGCATGACAACGTGTAATTTACAGGCCATTTTCACTAGGATAACTGGACAGTTGAAAATTTCATAAAAGCAGAGGAGCAATGTGAGCGAGTTGGAAGGAAAAAAAAAAATGGATCCAACATAAAAGCTGTATTTTTTTTGAAAGGTAGAGCTGTAGAAACAGCTACAGGGATTGTCACAGGATAGTTCTATATATTTAATCCCCAAAGAAGTTCCATAATGTTCTAACTGAAATCCAACAATTCTTCCCCAGTCTACAATGATTAACCCATTACTTCCCTACAAGAGATGCAACAGGGAATCCCATTCACATTTCTTCTTTGCAGAAGATGAAAGTAGAACCAGAATTAGTACAGAAACAGAACATTTGGCCGACTTGCTACAGAGACTTCAGACAGAAGTCTAAGAGGCTTTTTTCTCCGCAAGTTGGTAAAAAAATGAGCTCAGTAAGCATAAAAGAGAATTGCCACTGAGTATGATATAACAATATTACTTTAAAATTCGAGTATCCCCATGGCTCTATTTAACATTTAATGCACATAAAGTTGGATCAGGCTTTGTATCCTGAATCTGGCAAATTTGGAATGTAAATTATTTATGCAAAGAATAAAAGCAAAACTTTAGCTAGCATGTAGCAAATTAGATGGAGTTTTCTTTATTTTAGTAACAGATCTCAACATTATGAAAACGAATAAAGTAAAAAAGAGCGACCAATACATTTAGCTTGAGTATATTAGGGCTTGGCTGTAACACAAAACCAGCCAAAAACCCTTGACTGACAAAGCCCACTCTTTTGCAACAAGTACATGCTGTTCCACCAGACTGAGAAAAAAAACTGCGTCTTAAGGACCCTAAACAAGATGCATGCTCAGCTTTGCCAGCATCATTAGCATATCACAAATAGTTCATGTCTCCCTAATTAACTTTGTGTGAAAGACTCAGAAGTAATTTGGTTACTACCTAAACATTCAAGCAGCTATTTCAAGAAAAAGTTTGTAACTAGCAAAGAAAGAACAAAATGAGCAGCTGGTGAAGGGGACAAGCATTCACTGAAAGTAAAAGGTCTTTTAACTTTCTCCTCTTAATTTTTGTTTTATTTATTTTTGCCTACCAGCTACATTACTCTTTTGTAGGATGGCTTTTGACTAAGACTTAATTTTACTAAAAGCCTAATACTTTGGAACTGGAAGACCATTCAAAGTCATCATTCCTTGAGTATCTGGCAGAAGAGCACCAAAAGACCCAAGGTACTTTGAATACAGGTAGCAGTCTAGGCACAGCAATGCTGAGCCTGGTGCAGATTAATTTACCCTGTCAAAAACCTTTTCTGGTGGCTATCTTATTTCCAAGATGGCTTGAGGGTAGTGTGCACTGCAAAGATACCTTAAAGCTCTTCAGTGCTTTAAGCTTCAGCTAAAGCTTTGAAAATGGGACTGAAACTCCTATGCCACTTGGATTGCTTTGAAATGCAAGATAAGATCCAAAATCTGCCTAGTTCTCTGAGCAAATACTGACCATGATGTGAACAGCTATGACCACCCTTAAAAAAAAAAATGCATGATTTGAAGCTATTCAACCTTTTTTGCTACAAGTCTTAAGAAGAAAGGGAAGCATATGCTTATTTCTGGAAGATGCATAAAATATCCCCTTACTAGAATGTACATGCAGAACACGGAATGTCTTAGCAAGCACCCACTCAGTTCACTCAACACGAAAAGAAATCCAATTCACTGTTACAGTCTTAATGCTAATGACCATGTGATAAACACGCCAACAGTTCACTCTTCTGCCAAGCAAATGACCACGAAAAATGTGTGGGAACAGCCTATTTACATACCCAAAAGGTCTCCTAATATGAGGGCATGATCTTGTTCTACATAGATATTTTATGTAAACATTCTGGTTGCCAGTTTGAACTGGGATCATCTTTTGGAATACTGGGTCCCTGAAGATCCTCAGTCACAGTATATTAAAGACTGACGTTTCCCCAACATTTGTATGCAACTGCCCCTGGAGAGACCAAATGCAGCCTGCATGAAGCACCTACACATGTGTTTTTCATTTCAGGCAAGACGTACCCATAGTAGCTATAATGAATTATCAGAAGCATTTGGTAGTTCATTTCTAAATGCTTATTAGAATGATGCAGTCCAGGGACAGAATGGCTCAAGGGCCAACCTCCTCCAGAGTAGTATGCACACGCATGCAAAGAGGTCTATGATCTTGGTAGAAGCCGCTTAAGAAATAAAAGGCACCATTAAGTGCTAACAATATTAATTGGCTTCATGAAGCCTATCCTCTTGCAAGTACCTGCTGGCCCCAGGGAGTCTTTTCTTTGCTAATCCATAATATCCTGGGTTTTGACCTAAGATAGGATGCTTTATGTTATTCATAGAAGGGATTCTACATATGCCAAGTCTCTGGAGGAAAGCATTGAGATTTAGGGTACTTTATCTTGAACCCTATTACCACTAGCAAATTGACACTGCTGTTCTTGGATCTTTTAAATAGATGTTGTCTTTCATAACTGAACTGGAGGGATATAAGAAAAATTACTCTACAGGTTCCACAATTGCAATAGATAAATATATTGTTACAGTTGCACAGAAGCAATTATTTGCTGCAGAATCTTTAGGAAGTCCAGATATTTGCTGCCTCTAAGAAGGAGGTAGATGCACTAGAAAAAGATAAAAATACATTCTGATAATAAACAGATTATATAGTATCAAGTGCATCTTCTGAAATTCCATACATCTAAGCCTGGCAAAGTTCTGCCTTGCATGAGTTCAGAAACATGGACTTCAGGATAAGGAAAATCTTGTGTGGATTTAAAACGGACAATGTTCAGGGCATCTCTGTAATGATTAGATCTAGTTTATCATTGCATATCTCAATGACAACACATATATAGTTATTACTGCCAAATTTTCAAGATCAAGACAGACTACTTCTACTCAAAATCAAAGACCAAATATCTAACATAAATTTCATGGGGGGGGAAAATCAAGTTACTTGACTGAGATAGTGCAGTCTGGCTGAATAAGTGTCTAGACAGATTCAGGACACCTGAATTCTATTGCTGCCATACTGGATGACCTCAGATAAGTCACTTCACACTGCCTCAATTTCCCCAAATGCAAAACAAATTTCATACCCCCTTCTTTGTACACTTTTTTTAAAGCGTGAAGATTAACACTATTTAACAGTTACTGTTCTTGATATACTGCATTAATACTGATATGCTGAACACAAAAAGGGCTCTATTTTAGATTCATATTTTTAGCTTCCTGTTTCACAATCAAGACGAGGAAAGTTGTAATATAAAATTTAAGTGGAAAAAATAAAGCATTTTCCATATATAATCCTTGCTGGAACCTCTGCTACAAAAGCAAATGTTCTCATGTCTAAACACTGGTTGTTCTTGATAAATCAGGAAGTCAAATTCTTGAGATTGAAAAATTGTTGGTCTTTTTCAATCTGATTTTAAACCCTTCCTTCATTCACAAAGCAGATTAATAATGGTCAGCAAAATGTTTTGCCTTCTAAACACCTTAACCACGGGCAAAATTATAGGAACTTTATTAAAGCCGCATCATTTTATAGATTTAAAAAAAAAAGAATTTTATAGGTAGCAAAGGGGTTAGTTCCATCAGAAACCTTTTAGATCATAGAGGTTGGAATTTTTTAATTTAATTTGTTCTCTAAAGAGGACCACTAAACTTAAAAAAATCTCAGGATATCTTGCAGGCTGAAGACTTATTTGAATGACTTGTTTCTTTTTTAAAATGATGCGATCTAACTTTGTGATATAATAAGTTTGATGGAAATACAGATCTTTACTGGAAGATTTGTGCAAACTTTGAGAGGAGCCATTACCCCTGGGGTACATTCACACGCAATAAAGTATCTGACATGTTCTGGGAGTAACAGGATTTGTACTACCCTAACTAAAAAAAATATGCAAGACTAGAATTAAGACTAGTAGGTTTGCACAGCATACAGTTCGGACTTTTCTAGACATTAAAATAGACATTCATGGTAAACTGTAGGGTAGCTACTATAATATCAGCCTGCCTATCTAAAAGGCTGGATAGCAAACAATTTAAGGTGCCAGACTTAAGGCAGCCTATATTTACCACAATTTACTAACTAAAAAGATTATCTTCTACTAGTCTGAAGTTACCAATATAGCAAATATATCATGCTTACTACAAAGGCCCTCTTCCATTATAGATATGAATTGTATAAAAGGCAAGATATGTCCAACAAGTAAAATAGTTACATAGGCAATTTTAAATTTTAGATAAGTCTTAAAGTTAACACCACTGCCACTTTTACATTAAGTATTCTTCATCTGCCAAGCTGTTTCATCAGAAATAAAGTATTTACCATATACAATACATGTCCCCACTTTGAAGCTGTGGGACAAGGAACGATTCACATAGCTGTAAGGCTAAGGTGGTCTTCCCTTCTTTTTCAGTGTTGCAGATGATCTCAATTCCACTCCTGCAATCAGTCCTCAGCAAGTGCTAGGCAATTAAAATAAGACCAATTTAGATAAATTTACTATCAGGAAACATGATCAAACCTAGCTGTGCTAAAGCAGTCACTGAAATATATAGAAATTGCTACTGACACAGGGTTTCTTAGGCAAGAGTTTCACAAATATTTTGTATCACTTAAGTTAAATTTCATATTTTAAAAAGTTTGTTAGATGTCATCAGATATGTAAAATTTGCAATGGGATTTTGGTACAAAAATGTGTATTCACATGCACTTGAGGACAAGTGTTGAAAGGCCTCTTCAAACTCATCTTGATTTTGGCAAAAAGACAGAAGATGGAGAAATTGCCAACATGTGCTTTAAGTATTAAAAGGCATGCGCTTAAGTGAACATCATCTGGCCAACACTAAATGAGAGAGACTTTTCACAACTTAAGTAACTGGACAAGGTATAAAAAAACAAACTGAAAGTCATGTAGATTTAGACTCTTGTTGTGGTACTGCTTTGAAATAAAAGGTACTATAACTCTGAAGATTCAAGAAGTTCAGCAATGTAAGTGTTAGAGAAATTTTGTTTTTTAAACGTGTAAACTTCCAATGAAGTCAATAAGAGTTATATGCACTTCACTTACAGCAGACTTTGGTCCTAGGAAAATAAATTCAAGCCGATGTCATATGAAGTCTACCAGATTGATATTTGGTTATGCTATGGATAAAATTTCACATGCCTTGACAACTTTAAGTGTAATTTATAGGCATAACAAATGTATACTAAACACACAGTACCTCCTGGAACAGCTGATCTTCTAATGGTGACATATAAAGACAGGTGAAAAGAGCTTGATGGAAATACAGATCTTTACTGATATCTGGATGATTTATGCAAGCTTTGATAAGAGCCATTGCCTCTGGGATGCGTTCACAAGCAATAAGGTATCTGGCACGTAGTTCAAAGAACAGTGGATTTTCAGAGCTTAAATATTTGTTAACTGCACAGAAAAGAAAGATTTTAAAATCATTAGACTCTGCTCTCCCAACAAAATGGCATGTTCATTTTTATAGGACATTCATTAAGCATTATAATTAACAAAAACCTATCCAAGAAAGCCAGTCAGATGTTTAAGTACAATCTGCAGGAAGCTAGCTTTCTGTTTGTAAACAGATGTACTGCTGTTTGATGAGACCAGTAGCATAGCCCATTCCATATTCTCTCTCCAGAGATCAATAGTGATTGCTTCATGAGTGTGCAGTAAATGTTGCCATAAGCCAGAGTTGGTCAATGTAAGTGGCAGGAGGTTACAGGCCTCCCTGGAGGCAGCTGTGCCAGCTGTATTGTGGGCTCCCCTGCTGCATTGTGCGCCAGTCCTGCTATGTTATGTAGGGGTCTCAGGTACCCCCTGAAACCTCAGCTATGGCCTCCCGTGGCCCATCATCCTGCCCCTAGAGACAAGGCAGGAAGTGGAATCTGGAAGAGAAAGGGAAATCCCAGACAACCTAGTGGCAGCAGCAGGAGGGTGGTCAGAATCAGCACGTGGGCCAGGTGCTTGGGGGCTGCAAGTTATCTTGAGAGCCAGAAGCAGTCCATACGATAACCCTGCAGTTAAGAATATTCTCCAGTAGTTAAAGGCTGATCTCCCACCTCCACCTCTTGTGACTACAGACTCAGCTAAGTCTTGAAGCATGATGATTTCTCTCTCTCCTTCCTAAACATCTTTAATCTGGTTAGGCTAAGTAGCCATTTAGATAGACAGAGAAAGAGCAGAAGACAAATCACCCTCAGTCCATATAACCAATGTTTTATTTTAATTAATGCAACTAAGTCTAGTTTTGTTTTGCAGATTCCAAAGGTCATAGTTCCACAGTCAGTTTGGATCATTGATCAAACTAAGTAACTCTGAAACTTCAAATCTTCCAATATAGTTCTCACAATATTAACATTACTTCAAGGCAGAAGTAACCTTTACTTCCTCACAAGACTGCACAGGAACAGTAGCACAGAGCTGATTCCCATACAGTTTATTTTTCATTTAAAAAAAATCCTTGCTTTGCTGCAACAAGGATTAAATTCATCTTATTTTTACCGATACATCATGTATTAAAGTTTTCTTTGATGAAAAACAGAATCGAAACTACTAACATACCACAAAATTAAAGTTGCAACATTAACCAAAGAGTTTAGGGGCATTTAGAAACCCAGCTGCATCTTTAAGTGCATAAATACCTTTGAAACTGTGGACCCAACTGTTAGATTTGCTTAATTTGAGTCACAGACAGCACTCAATTTAAGACTGTGCGTTTGGCCTTAAACCTGCTGCTCTGCTTTCAGCTTCCAGCCCTGTGCTTTGTGCCTGATGTGATGCTTTGCTTTCTGCTTCAAGCCATATCTGCCCTAATACTACCTGTTCCTTCTCCAATCTGCCAAGGGCCACACACACACAGGCTGCTCACAGAACCCATGCCGCAGGCTGACCACCTGTCTTGGACAATGGAGCCTCGATCCTTCACTGAGGTAGAGACTAATGTTGAGAAACCAATTTTCATCATGGAGAAACAAGACAAGGATGTACACAGTGGTTCTGCATAAACTTATGTAATGCAAAAGCAGCTAGACAGATTTTTGCTTTAATTTAAAACCCAACGTGACATGGAAAATTGGTATCCTCAAAATATGAGACATTATGACCAACTGAAAAAAAGACTGATATAAACAAAGTAAAGCTATGCCTAAATTACAATGGCTACAAAGCCCACCACTGCTGCAACAGCCCAAATCATTGGTATATTAATCCAGATTTAATTTCCTGAATATTAATCACGTAGGTCTAATGTCCATGTGACAAAAAATGCTTTGAAGCTGCATTATTCCTATATTAAAATCAGAAGATTTTGGACTGAACTCCTGAATAGTTATAGTTTCATAGTTTCTAGGGTCGGAAGGGACCTGAGCAGATCATCTAGTCCGACCCCCTGCCATGGCAGGAAGAGCACTGGGGTCAAATGACCCCAGTAAGGTGGTCATCCAACCTCCTCTTAAAAACCCCCAGGGTGGGAGCCTGCACCACCTCACTTGGAAGCTGGTTCCAGACTCTAGCCGCCCTGACCGTGAAGTAGCGCCTCCTGATGTCCAACTTAAACCTTCCCTCCGCCAGCTTGTGACCATTGTTCCTGGTCACTCCTTGCGGCGCTCGGGGGAACAGGGACTCCCCCAGCGCCTGCTGATCCCCCCTAACCAGTTTATAACAGGCCACAAGATCCCCCCTCAGCCTTCTCTTTTGAAGGCTGAACAGGTTCAGGTCCCGCAACCTTTCCTCATAGGACCTACCCTGCTGTCCCTTGATCATACGAGTGGCCCTCCTCTGGACCCTCTCCATGCTGTCCACATCCCTCTTAAAGTGCGGCGCCCAGAACTGGACGCAGTACTCCAGCTGCGGCCTGACCAGTGCCGCATAGAGGGGGAGGATCACCTCCTTGGACCTGCTCGAGATGCATCTGTGGATGCACGACAAGGTGCAGTTGGCCTTCCTAGCCGCCTCCCCACACTGCTGACTCATGTTCATCCTGGAGTCAATAATGACTCCCAGATCCTTTTCCACCTCTGTGCTGACAAGAGGGGAGTTCCCCAGCCTGTATGTGTGGTGCCTATTGTTCCTCCCCAGGTGCATCACCTTACACTTGTCCATGTTAAACCCCATCCTGTTCTCCTCCGCCCATCCTTGTAACCTATCTAGGTCTAACTGTAGCCTGTTGCTCCCCTCAATTGTGCCCACTTCCCCCCACATCTTATATTTTCTTTAAAAACTATTAAAGAAATAAAGGTGGACATTTAACTCCCCACAGACATCTGGACTCAAAGATCTTCCAAAGTCCCTTCCAGCCCTAGCGTCTATGAATGTGTGTTAGCAGAACGTAGAAACAAAGAGACATTAGGAAAAATCAAGGCCCTCTGCCCTCACCTAACTGCAGGAACATGATAATAGGGAATACTCCTCCTCATAGAACCCAGGTGCTTTTAGTCTTAGCTGCATTTTTAGAGTTCATTTTAATACACCCAAGATAACCAAACCATTGCAATCTTCACCCATTTAGGAGGCAAATAGATTTGACCTGACAAATTATGGAGCAGATTAACTTTTAACTTGTGCTTCTGCTCCTGTAAATAAAGGACTTTTAATATGCATAATAATCAGGCGTCATCCATTTCCTTTGACTGGGAAGCAAAAATTTGTCTGCTATATTACTCAGACTTGTTATAAATAGAGTTCCCATTTTCAGACTGTACAGCCTTAGGCAACACATCCTCAAGATGCAGCACCCTTAAGACCCAAGTTTAATTTATACCAGCAATTCCTGGCTACTGACACTGTCACTAGTAAGGATGGCTGCAGTTGCTCCAAAAAATCACTTCTCACAAACCCTGGGTGCTTTTCAACCTGATTAATTCTACCAGAGCCCTTCCTCTCTAGGGTTAAAGTCCCTGGGGATACATGTACAGGCTTTAATCCCAAAGCAGAAAAAAAACTAATTATAGTAGCAACTGGGCAAATGTAACATTAATTTAAGAAAGGTTATCTATTCTTGTCCAAGCAAAGACTATACAGAGCCTTGATGGAACTTGATGTCTTAATTATAAAGCTTAAAAGGTAGAGAGCAGAAAGCCTTTGTGTTCAAGTCTCCTCTGATTTTCCCTTCCTCTTCAAATTCCTGGCAGGCTTCTTCAGAGAGCTGCTCTTGAAATGCTCAGGCTTTTCCTGTTTCCAGTAAAATACTGTTTTGGCCTTGCTCTCTCTCCACAGAGAAAAACTTGGCTCTTTCTCCAAAGAACCCCCTCTTTGTGGTCCTCTGAAAATACTACTGCAATGTACAAGAGGACAGGTGCAGCAAGCTCATGTTGGACTTGCCCTTTTTGTGCAAGCTGAGGGACCAACAGCAGCACAGTACGTATGGTTTATACAATGTCTCAACATGACTTAAAAATGTAATACCATATCTTCTTGCATGTAACACGTTCCCAAATACAATACACTTTGTTTTTGAAAGGAAACAACAAAAAAGAGTAACAGCTGCATAGAGCAGAGACATAGCCTTGTTTTCAGCTGATCCACCTCCCTTTCCTGCATCACTAAAACTGAATCTCTAATTGCTGCTGGCAACTGGTCCCAGTGGGTGAACCTACAACTTTGAAAAGAGATAAAAACTATGCTAAAGAGCTAAGAACTTTGTGAAAGATCAGGAACAACTAGAAGACAGTGAAATTGTCTTTAAAAGGGTTAGCTTGATAAGCGGAACATCAACACCATAAAAAAGGAGGGATAAGCATTAACACCTGCAGAGTAAAGAACAATGAGCCATTAGGTCAAAAAATACCCTTAGCAACCCACACAGTAATATGTACCAGTAGAACAGGAATCAAATCAGGAAAACCAGAAAATTAACTTCCCCACATTAAACATGGATGCTAATTTTGGGGGTGGGGAGGGAGGAGGAAGGTGTGTACTGTATTTAAGAAACAAGTCCCTGGTACAGGTTACATTTAAGATGCAATTAAGGTGTTAATCACATCATAAGTAGTAACCCAGGCACATGTTAAAGCCAATTTATGGCAGGATAATATAGCCATGCAGCACAAGAAAATGGCGCACACAGAATGCATCTAACCATCTTTGTGGCTCGTTGCATCACAACCCCTGTCACTTTAGGAGGGGAGAGCAGCTGGCTGCAGCAGCAGCAGCAGAGGCGGCATCAACTCCATGTGAAAACCAGTTTGTCGTGCTGGAAAGCCACAGGACTGGAAGAGGTGGGGCTTTGGGCACATAAGCCCAGTGCCCAAGCACAAGCAGGCAATCTGACAGACAGGCATCAAGCTACCCAAGGGAGCTGGGTTGAGAGGGCTCCAAGGGGGAGATGGCTTGTGGGCAACCTTAACCCTGAGTGGGGGAAGACTTTTAGGGCAAGACTTTTGGGGTCAAGGACCCTGAGGGCTGACCCAGTGAGCATAAGACAAGGGCCGGGGCCCAGAGCATACAGGTACAAGATGGGTCTGGGGCACAGGAGCCAAGGTCCAGGGCAATGGGCCTGAGCTGAGAAGCACAGGCAGAATAGAAGGGCCAAGGCCAGGAAGGCTGAGACATGGACAGAAGTTCAAGGCCTAAAAAGGCAAAAGCTGCATGGAAGGCAGGGGGCCCTTTCCAATGAACAGAGTAACTTCTGTAAGGCATAGGCATGGCTATAGGGGAGGAAGGAAGCCATGAATACAGCTTATAAGGCAACTGGCTCTCTGAGACATGGACAGGGCCAGAAGGTCCATATCTTAGTGCCCAAGAGGCATGACTGGGGCCAGCCAGGTACAAGAGGTACCAGCCAGCCAAAGTGAACAAGGGCTCACTTGAGGACCTTGGGACAGCTTCCCTTAACATCATAATAAATCCATCAAGGTGTCACAAGTAAGGAAAAGGGGAGGGTAGAGACATAGTAGGGAGGCAGGAGTCACATGGCCACGAGGGGATATTAGAGCTGTTCCTGGAGCATGATCATGCTACACATGCTTTAAACAAAATCTGTGGCATACTGGGGCTGACATGACAGATCCCAATGCTCAGTTGAGTGTAGGGATCTGGCATAAGGCAGCCCTAGGATCCAAGACACAATGGTCCCCTACCGATTGTACAGACACTTATGGGTTTCATGGCTTGCTTAAACATTCATGCCCTCTGTTAATGAACTAATTAGAACAGATATATTGTCGAGTACCAAAACTGGGCTGGGGGGCAACACTGGATTCTGGACCTGATGCCCCCACCTAATCCCCAGAGGCAAATCAGGGGGTGCTGAGAGCCCAACTTCAAGGCTTGTCTCCTGACCTGGAGCCCCAGTTACATGGCTGTTGTTTTTTTGTTTTTTAAGTTCCTGAGGCACCCACAGAAGCAACAGCTGGGGAGCTGGGAGATCCCTGTTCCCCAGCTGTGGGCACTGCTTCGAGATATGGGGCATGGGCAGCTGGGGACCCACAAGTTCTCAGCTCCCTGTGACTGATGCTGTGGGAACCAGTGCATGGGGAGCTTTGAAGAGCATGCAGGCAGCTGGGCTGCAGCTATATTTTTTAAAACTCCCCCAGGTGCTCAGCTCCAGACAGCAGGTGAAGGCTGTCTAGTATCTAGGTGTTAGCACCTAGAGCTTTAAAGAATACACTGACGTAGCTTCCTTGGGCTTTGCTGCCAGGGACTTCGAACTCTGTGTCTGGCAGCTCTGGCTGGGCTGCTGGGGATCAGAGGCTCCTAGTAGGGTCTGAAGTCCTCAACAAGGGAAGCTCTTGCCTCCCACCCCCAGTGAACGGTTTATGATCCCAGGCTCCTTGCACTGGCAAACAGAAATACCATGATGGGGGTTCTCAATCCCCGATCCCAACAATCTCACTTCCTGCCATACGTGTGGCATGGCAGAAGATGTGATAGTTGGGACTGGGGATGAGATTCCACTGTGCCATTAAATAACTGTGTGCCAGAGGCCTTAGTTATACAGTATGACTGCATTACAGAAGTTGAAAAGAAAAAATTAAATTAATACCTGGGTCAGTTCTATAGGTGAATGGATAACAGATAACTATGCTGCATTATTTAAAGCACCCAGAGAGGGAGCAATTCAGTTTTTGTAAGATAAACATCAAGTGAAGTCCAACTATGTAAGAGGTACACAAATGTTCACATAAGGGACTCAAAATGTTCTACGCTCAAAGAAACTCCTGCTCTAAGCGAGCACCTTGGAGGCAGTTGATATAAATGGTGGCAAGGCCCACCCCTCCGCCTTTTTTGAGAGGAGATTTTTGCTTGAAAGTTAAGAAAGTAGTGTGAAGGTGCACTGCCATGTTAGGGATATTAGAGAAAGCCAAGAGAAAAAGTATCAGGAGTTAAAATATTTAGCTACAAAAAAAAGGGGAGTAGCAGCCAGCAATAAAAACTAGCACCAACTTACTGTTATTTGGGAGTGACAGAAGTACCAGGTACCACAAAGGACTACCAAGTCTAACTCCTATATAAAGGTTTCCCATTACTGTAAATACCTATACCCTTTTGGACTTTAGCTACTATTTCTGCTTATGGTTCATCAACAAGTCATCGCAGCCAGGGATCCTTGTCTAAACCGTATTGTGATGCACAACTGACCAGCGACAGTCCCTCCCCTCACACCTGCTTTGCTACTATTTAAACCAGTGGATCCCAATCCACAGGTAGATCTCTGAGCCTCTTGCGGTAGATCCTGGAGCCTCTTGGAGTCAGTCTGAGGCTGGGATGGGGGACAGTGCCTGCACGCATCCATGTGCATCCTTCAGCCCAGCAGGTCAGTCCATGGGGGAGGGAAGGGGCAGGGGCTAGACTCAGGACCCCACAGTGAGGGACAGTGCTGCCAAGGCAGGAGCAAGAGGCAAGTTGAGTGGGGCCCTAGCTGCGCAGAACTTACCTGCTGGGGAGGCGCACCCCCAAATAATATTTTTCCCCCTTCTGCCTTGATCTGCCCCACCATTTCCCTCCCCCACAGACTTACCTACTGGGCAGGGATGGGGTGGCAGCAGTGCACAGTAGATCTCAGGTTGCTTTTAAATGCCAAAGGTGATCTCCTACTTAAAAACTTGGAGACCACCAATTTAAATCAGTGAAAGATGAACTACTGTCAGCTATGGAAACAAGTCCTTGGACACCTCTGCAATGGTCCTCTGCAGTGTCAAAACTTTCCCTCATTATCCTACTAATCTGCCTCTTAGTTCTGGACCCACCACTGAAAAGACAACTCATTTCGTTTCGATGGCCTGTCAGAAACCTCCTGCTTGACACTGCCAGAGAAATGATATCTGTCAGTAGAGCAATACTTCTGTTGCAAAGAATTCAGAAAGACCACAACAGGTCCAAATGTTATTGACACTATGGAGTCACCTCTGGATGTATTTGTCAGTGTTCACACACTTAACAGTGCTAACATAGTGTGGTTCTGTGGCACCCTTACATGGCTCTCATACCACCCTGGTTGAGAATCGTTCCACTATACAAACAAAATGAAAAAACAGATCCTGTCACAAAGGCCTTACAATCTATGCGAGAGCCAGCAGATGAACACAGACAAATTGGAGAGTATAAGGAAGTGGCTGGACAGCACTGGTCTGCAAGACAAGCTGTTCTCAGTACATCAGCAAGCTAATCATGGCCAAGCTCTTTTGTAGGTAAAAACCTAACTTGCATTTCATATTATATATGCTCATGTCAATTTAGCAACCACCTCAGGACTTCTTAAGTCAGCACAAAGAAAACAAAGTGGCTTTCATTTTCTTTTTAAACAACTGGTTTGATGAAACACCAGAGAATTACATGTACAAATTAAAGATTTTACTTGGTCATGTTGCCTCAAATACACACAAACAATGATTTAAAATGTTTAAAAACTATATATTTATTAAATGACATACCTAACTCCTGAGATACAGGCTTTGCTTTAAGAACTGCTTGTAACACTGGATCCTCCCATGGTCCACCATCTCTGATAATTCGAGTCACCAATTCCAGGTTCATATTTCCATATCTGCTTAGGAGGTTCTGGCATTCCTATGATTTTTTTAAAAAGCATTACATTCAAAGAACAAGTGAGATAAACAAATACTGAATCATTAAATAACTAAAATGTCAAAACTATATCTATATGCTCAGCATTGAGTCAATATCACAACTAGTCATATGTTGACTGTGACTATATAGTAAACCTAAAGGCACCAATCTAATTTCCTTTATACAGAAGTCTTGCCAACATCCATTAATGGCAAGCTTGTGCCATTTTGTTGACAATAGGTGAGCTGAATTCTCATCTCCTATTAAAGATATCTAACAAACCCCAATGACCAAATCTTCAGTTGGCAGAAATCAATGTATACAAGGTCTGTACACAAGGAGATGCTGTGACACCAACTATGTACTACTAATTTTTAAAGGAATTAGCATACTGGAATATGCATAGTCCAAAACTAACACCTTTGAGCTAAAATGCAAGTCAGACATTTCTGTCAAAACTTCTACATACTGCTGAAATCATTCATTTAAATTATTAAAATTAGGACCAAATAATAGCCTGTGTGTACCCAATTCCCATCATCCATAACAGTACTGAAAGTTTGAAGAGGGAAGTCAAACAGTGCTCTAATTTTCTATCAGGTCATTCAATTCAAGAGGATTTCTCTACCATTAACTTTTACTGTACAAGAAAATAATTTCATACAAACTGGAGAACAGCTTCTGATGTTCATTTTTGCTGTAGAGAGTTTTAGTATCAATTTATTCCTAATTTCTTATACTATATTCAGATAACTCTCGTCTGATAACCAAGGAACTGAAACATGCTTTTTTTTTTCTTTTTTTTTAAAATCAAGTACACTTTCACACGTCCTGTTAAAAAATAAGTCTTACAAGCTTCCCCAGCAAGAGAAAGAGCCTTTGAAGGATGTTTTAATGAATCTGATCAATACACTTGGTTTTTGTATTTTAACTGGCTTTATGCATTTATCAAAAATACAAACACTGAGTTTAAAGGTAGAAAAAAAAGTTTTGCTACTTATTTTTCCCCAACATACTGTTCTCCTCAAAGATCCATCATTTGAGGCCTGTACACCACCCACCATGGGTGCCATAAATATTAACAGAATAGTCCCACAGCACTCATACAAAAGTAGACCCCACTTATAAACTGTAATATTCTTTAGGCTGCAATTCCTTCCCCATGTGCTTTAGCATCTGGTTACACTTTCAGAGGCATCAAGTCCTATTTTTAACATAGATTTGTACAATTATAAACAATAAACATTAGCATTCTTCAATACCTACCATTTTAGGCAAAGAGGTTTAAGTACAAAATAGTGCAAGAATTAAAGAGAGTAGCAGTTTAGCATTCAACTGACGATCTGAACAGTGGGCGAGAAACTGTTGATTTAGTAAGTTATAAGCTTAGAATACTACATTTCTTGGTGGATGTTAAGTTCTGGTCAGAGATTACCAAAAGGAAAGCAGCTAGAAACTAGTTTTGATCTCCTTAGAAATAAAAGGGAAAAATACAATCTTAATTTAAAAACGAAGACACATTTATCATTACAAAACTAGAATTATGCTCTACTTAATTCATGATTTGATACAAGCAGGGTCAATGGTTGCAACCTTAAGAAAAACATTAATGTTCAATGCAAAAAAAAAAAAAAAAAAAAAAAAAC